AAGACACTTGTGCATGCTTTGGAAGAAACAATAAAACTATATTGTTCATATGACTGTATTCCACTTGTGGTTAATTCATTCTTCAAACATGAACAGTGAAACAATATTATGAAAGTTTCCATCAATTTTGGATAAGTCACCAGTATTAGTTTTTGGCATGCGCACTATTTGTTGGTGGCATGTTACTGAGTTGCAAATTAAGTTAACTTATTGAGATGTAAAAATGACTAGTGTAGATCATTTAAAGAATCTCACTAAGAAATAGAATTTTTTGTTTGTTTCTGTCAACAAAGTCCTAAAACACTCCACAGGGGTGCCTTTATTTAACCCAAACCTTATGAATTTATCTATCTGAAGCTTAAAAAGTCACTACTTTGGAATAACCTTGAGTGTGATAATAATCTAAAAAAAAAACTATTTTGTATTATTTTGAAACAGAGCTATTTTCATCTGATTTAATGTCAGACAGCAAGAAAGAAAAAAGATTGTGTCCCTTACATGGCATTTGAAAAAATCTGGCTTTAACTGTATCCATCCTTTTCCATTAGGTTCAAGCATGTTATGGCAGATGTGAAATCTGTCAGAGCAGTTTTATAAAAGGCATTAAAATTCCACATGCAATAAAAGTGTTATTTATAGGGCCATAACAGGCTTGTAGCTTTACTAACACAAACACCAAAGAAGAAACCAAGACACTGAACGCTCCCATACACACTCATTGAAGGGTCTTGTTCCTCTGTAAGCTTGTATTAATGCACAATTAAAGTAAGTTAGCAAACCTAATTTAAATTCAACCACATGACAGCTTAAAATCACTAACTGTAAATTAAGCACATAAGAGTATTTATTTTAGTTGAGACAGATCAAGAATGATAAATAACAGGCAAAAGCGTCAGTACTTGCCGGCAAGCTGTGTGATGTCATTGGGAAAATCACGTAATTAAAAAGCACAAACTTGTGACGCAGAAGCTGTGGTATTAAGGAAGAATGTGTCACACACTTGTTAAAATTTTAAATAAACTAATTAGTAATCAAGAAAAAATGTTTGGCTGAAAAAAATTTATAAACAGAAGCTGATGAAAATAGAGGTGGAAAATGAATTTGCAAGAGATGAAGTGCCTCCACCAACAGAGTGAGCACCTTTAATACAAGAACTTTACCTTTACGTTAGTGAAGATGAGGAACCTTCATTTTGTTCTGGAGCTCATTAGTGAAGATTCTCCTTCTTCTGCCATTTGGCATTAGTCCCTTCACAGTAAGAAAAAAGAATGAAGACTTGAGACCATTTTTGGACAAAATGTGAACCTAATATATTTGTTCCATAACAAGTATGTTTCAAAGAGAATTATGCAGGTTAACTTGCACTTGCTGCAAATATGAACAAAAGCATCAGCTTGTCATTCAGATGTATGAGAATCCAGTAGTATCAAACCAATACTTCAATGGAGATGGCACCAGTGTACCTGGCACAACATCTTACTTGCTTTCTATACTTTTTTGTTTTTGCTTTATTTGTGTATTTATGCTGTTACTGTGCCTTAACAGTTAATGACCATTAAGCACTTTTGGACATTAAAACTTCAATGGATCTACATTTTGGATATGGTTTGGGAAAAATTAGGGTTCCAGTTCCTCTCATGTCCCTGCTGAACTGTTGAGTTCACCACATGCCATTCAGGAGAGCTGATTCCCTCAAAGACGTTCTAAATGTGAAGGCTCAAAGCTTACCTGGCTTTCTTCACCCTCTGGTAGGCGGCTTTCCTCGGCTTGTGAGGTATTGCTTCCTAATTGCTGGATTTGCCTCGCTCTTCTGGGGATGTGCTCTTCTCTCACAAACAGCCAGGAATCTGAGGTGCTCTGTTTAAATCCAAGATCCATCACGAATTTTGTGAACTCTTTGTTCCAACAATGAGGAGACTGTTTTAGTCCATTGATTGCTTTTTTAGCTTGCTCACTGACTTGGTTTGATGTGTCCCTCAGGTTCTCCCATGTATATTTCTTTTTTCCAGGTGTCCATTTAAGAATACAGTGACAACATCCATTTGACATACATGTAGATTATTCTGAATGGCAAAGGACAATAATGTACAAATTGAGCTCAAATTTACCAGTGGTGAAAATGGTTCATTCACATCATCAACATATGGCTGTGAGTAACTTTTTGCAACAAGTCTGTACTTGTATCTCTCTCCTCAATCACTTTGATGCTTGACTTTGAACCCGATGACCTCTTTGCTTTTTGGTAGTTTCACTAGATCCCAGGATTAATTTTCTAGCTGTCACTAGAAACTGCTGCTTCTTCCCTTTCTTTTACACTTGGACTCTTTAATGCTTTTTTTAGTGTGATTAACATTTCGTCTCCGTTAGCATGCAGCATAGCCGTGAAGCTTTAGCAATTGCTTCATCTGAAACTTTTACGTACGCTTGTTCTCTGGTCAGTTCAGTTTGTCGATATGCATCTTTTCATCCATTGTGAATCCTTCAAGTCCGTTTATTTGACTCAAAAACCGAACTTTTTAGCGACACTGGGCCCTGCGGCGTTTCTCGTCACTTCAGAAAGGAACAGTACAACGGCAGTACTCGGAAGACACAGTAGATGGCAGTGTAACTACCTTTCCATTAACAGCCACTGAAGAAATTACTGCTTCATATTTCAACACAGCAGAGCATCTACTGAGATCCCCCGGAATAATTAAAGCTAGGGTAATTGTCAGTGTCATAAAAAAATTTAAGTTTTAAATCTAGCCCTAAAAGTAGACACAGTGTCTGCATAATGGACTAAAAGTGGGACCTGGGTTCACAGCAGAGGAGCCTGATTGCTGAAAGATCTGCCTCCCTTTCTACATTTAGAAACTCAATTAACTTTTTTGTGAGAAGTATAACTAAAAATTTCTATCGAACCATTTGATGCAGAGTGTTTATATTTTGCAGTATTTATGAATGATTAAATGGTGAGTGTCATTTTCCCCCGTGTGTCTATTAATAGTGATGGACTATTTCTACTCTATGTATAATTTAATCAGGAAAACAACCCTGAACCCTAAACAAATCAAAACAGTTGTTAATTAAAGTAATTCTGATTTTAGTGCTAATTGCTGTTCTAGTTTGTTCATTAGTTATTCAGAGCAAAATCATTGGAGTGCCATTGCTAATAATTGAGTTTAATTAGAAACAATCATAGTTATTTAATTTAGGTTGAATGCATGTAACAAACTTTCAAAGGGAGATTGAACAGAAAACAATATACTTTATTTGGTAAGTCAGTTAAGAAGACCTTCATATTTAGTTCCAGCAGATGCATAAACACACTTAAAATGACTGCACATAAATGTTGTGCAATTTCTCTGCTTTACTTGGATTTTTCTTTGATCTGCTCAATTTGTACCAAGTTTCATTCTTTGATGCTTACCCACCAAAAATTTGACTACAGAGAACTTTCCCCTGTCAGCACAGCAAATGCTGCCACTGTGTGTTCCAAAGCGGTTGCTGCCTGACACTCCCGTTCCTCTTGTCACTTTGTAACTTCACAGCTTCCTTAATACACACTCAACTTCACTCAATTGAAGTTGTGACATTTCGATTTTCACAGCCCCATCCCTCAAATAAAACATTACTATGATGTGTTTAGAATGTACAAATTCCGTCCCTAACATGTTGATTTCATTAGAAAACAAAATTAACGAGCATTTCTATTCAAAAGAGTGGCATTGTCTCTTAAAAGATGTGCTTCTGTGCTACCACTATGAGACAATCTAACTTCAGTCATTCGTGTTTTTTTTTTTTTAATGAAAGATTAATTACAATATTTCAGACAAACATCCATGATATGGATTCAGTGTCTTTCATGCTGCCATCAAAATGTGATTGAGATATGTTAAAGCAGATGGTGGGGTGAAGTAATGGCGCTATTTATCATCTTGCCTTAAAAATATTCTCCAGTGAATTTCTTAATAGCAAATCAGATGGTTTTATGACAAAACTCTTAACTTTTAATCTCTGGGCCTGTGAGGTACAGATAATCTGAACAAAATCGCATTAACAACTCTTATCACAACACTGAAAAGGACTTCTTTATTAATGTTTCATCACTGCCACACTGTAAACCGATGCAATTAGGCTAGATACTTATTGAGAATCTACCCGAGTTGTCGGTCTTAATCATATAAATATACATAGCACTCAAAAATACTTTTTTTTGTGTGTGTTATCTGGTTATTTTCTACAGAGACCTGGTGGAGGTGAAAAAAACATATGTCTTTGACTTTCTGAGCAAGAAAACCTGAAAATCTCATCTGCGATTATCTGCTGTTTAGTCTAAACCTTCTTTTATTGTAACTTTCCCTCAAGCATATTGAAACAGATGCCTTCGATGGTGATGTCATTAGTCGACTCTTCTTTATGTAGAGATGCTTTATGTGTTGTAACAGCTTTTGTTTGTACTTTGTTCTTGATTTCTTTGTGAAATGTGTACAAGTTTCTATTTTCCAATCCAAGAAGTTTACATTTGCTCAGATGATTTGCCTTTAGTGCACAATTCTTTAAATGTATCTAGTAAAATCACTGTAAAAGAGTTGACTTAAATTCTAGAGGAAAATCTAGCGTTTTATACTTTGTGCTTGTGAAAAGTCATGTTTTTTGTTGTTTTTTTTTTTTTTGTTTTGTTTTGTTTTGTTTTTTTGGAAAGTGTTATCATTCTTGAATTTTTGTTGGTCCTACACCAGGACTGTAATGTTATTTAGTACCAATTCGGCTGAGGGTTCAACAGTTAGACATAAGGGAACTTTTGAAAGGGGATGGACGGTATATCATTTCCTGTAAAGCCTCGACGTCCAGAACATTGTATCATTTAATTAAATGACGTGACGTGCTCGGAGGCAGGTAGTGAAAACAAAGAATTGGCTTGAAGGAGGACCATTACGCAGGTTGTCGTGACATCATTGGGGGATGGCTATAAAGAGCCGAGGACTGATGCGCAGAATTAGAACAGCAGTTCAGAAGCGTTGGGTAAAAGGACGCGTTCAAACCCGTTCAGTGGCTGACTGACTGAAACGACCGTCCATCTTACTAAAGAAGAAGAAGAAGAGGAGAGGAATCCCTGTAAGACTTGACAAAATGAACTTGTCCTACTTGGTTGCCTGTGGACTTTTGGTCAGCCTGCTTTCAGAAAAGATGGGAGCAAAGCCTTTGACTCCAGCGCAACAGAAGGTAAGCCGGTTGCATCTCAAATGATGCTTGGTGTTTCGTTTATGCATTAAGTTTTTTTTGTTTTGTTTTGTTTGAGCGCAAAAAAAATAAATAAATAAATAAACGCGTCAGATATGATTTTAGCTCACGTTTGCCGTTCTGGAAAAGCTTTGTTTTCTCTTTGTTAATAAGTTAAAACTTGCCCAAACTTTTTTGCGTTTCTTTTGGTTGTACTACAATAACATTTTATTCTGTGACATTTACAAGATAGCAATTTAAAGAGGTGCTAAATTGTGATCCACAATTTAGTTATCATCAGGTACCGGTGGTTCGTTTTACACTTATTCCCGACTTGGAAATGTGTCTGTTGGAATCTGTTGTGTGCGTAAAATCTAATTATGATCGTGCCATAGGACCACCCTAATTATTTAAAATAAGTCATGCAGTCATATATCCGTTATTAACAAATCAATAAATGACCAGAGTGAAGTGGATACCAAAGTCCAGACTAAATACCGATCATATGCACCTGTTTCCCAGTCTGGTGGTTTTATTAGGACGCAGTGTCACTGAATAAAAATTAAAGCAGCACTTATAGCCTATGCGACAGGGGAGATTTATAGACTCTCTGTGATTTCAATTAACCTCTAATCTAATAACTGCAACATTCTCTTTTGTGGTGGAATTTGAAGCCGTTACCCCCGAAGGGTATAAAATGTTGAAATATTCCCTCTATTTCAACACACTTATACACCTCAAATGGTGTAAAAGTATGTAACCTCTGCCCGAACAAGCAGTATATTTTCTTGTTGTTTGAGTTATCAGAGGCTTGGAAAAAAAGAAAAAAAAGAACTTTTATCGCAGGGATGCACTGCTCATCTATTTTGTTCATCTCATAGTCCCTCCGAAGTTTGCTGGGTGAGGAACTAGCGGAGATCCTGGAGTCAGATGAGAGGGAGCGGAGGATAGACGCAGTGCGCACTCGGATGAGGTTACTGCGAGATTTACGCATGGACACCCGCGCCAGAGGGATGTGGGCACGTCTCCTCAACGACCAGCCCGCAGCGAGGAGGCACAAGTCGGGAAACAAGAAGGCGGGCTCCACGTCACGGAGTGGCTGTTTCGGACACAAGATGGACAGGATAGGGACCATCAGCGGGATGGGCTGCTAGGGCTCGGAGCTGCGCAGAGGCGGTGAGTTCATGGGGCATCCCTGCTTTTTACACTTAGGTGGAACCAGAGTAACGTCCCAGACAGAAACAAAGAGGAAAATCTGCTTTCAGAAAAGATGAAAGCAGATTTGGTAAATAAAAAATAAAATAATAATAATAAAATGAAAGGAATAGTTTAGGACACTTCACTTCCATTACCTTAGAAAGCGCAGAGGACACACACACACACACACTAGGACTAATGTTCTGTTCTTACAAAGTCAACAAATGGACAGATGATACTTGCATTTTGCAATAAATTCCAGTGTAATTCAGAAATTAGTTACATGTCAGGAGCCACTCAAGTGTGTTATTGTGTCATAACTGTGTGAATAAATCCTTGTTATTAAACCACCTGGAACAAAGAAAGATTTTAAGCCCCAAACGGTCCAAATAAGATAATGTATCAAATTAATACAATAATAAATTTTCAACCACTGCAATACTTTCTTCGAGAATGCAAACTGCTTGCTGAAAAACTCACTTCAATTAGAGTGACAGATAGGGTGCAATCCTGTGGGTGTTTAGGAAGTCCACTCTCGTGTTTCTACTCATAATCGTGGACGATCCCATCTGTTTCACTTGGAAAAACAGCGGCATACATCATGTTTAGGAAGTGGAGATGACAAGGAGGGATGGAGGAAGGAAGTGGCGATGTGGACAAGCGCGTACACATCCATGCAATGTCTTGAAAACGAAGCACCCTGCAGTGGTCAGAAACTTTCTGGGAAAGCCATTTTCTCCCAACCCAAGTTTTTTACCAAAAGCAGGGACGGGGCTGTGTTTGTGAATGAAGTAATGTGAAAGCTAAGGTGACACACAATTAGTCCTGAGGGCTGGGGCCTTTTTGTGGTTGTGGTGAAACAGTCAGATCCAGCATGGGGACGTGAGAGTTTATGACTAACTTGGAAGTGTTGGTCACTGGTTAGCACCCAGAAATGTGAAAGTTTGTAATGGATTCCCAGTTCAAGACACCAGAGTAAGATTTTTTTAATGGAGATTAAAACCAACAAGCATGTTTGGAAATCCCCAGGATGATTAGCAGCTGATGAATAGGCTCTTAAAATTACAGGATAAATGATCATGTGTTTATGGACCAGTCTCTGACAGTGCTTATAAGATTTTCTCTCCTGTTTCTCTGTTTTTTTTTCTAGGTCTTTGGACGATGGGTTTGGACAACATAGGCTGAGTGTGTTGCCACCTGAGCGAAAAATGACCAACTGATATGACTTTCGGTACGATCGAGCCCACAGCCAGCGTTGGGCAAAGACTGAGAAGACAATGCTGCAGAAGCCTCATCACTTTATATAAATAAATATGAATATATACATAGTAAATATGCAGGTATATATTCATCAATGTATGCCAGACAAATGGTCTACAAATACAGAGATGCATACTATGACGTTGTGGACAATGGTGTAAAAACTAAAAACCGCAAGAGCTGTACATTGTTGCTGCTGCTGCTGTACATTCAAGTACTTCATTCACTCCTGCGTTAATGTATTTATGTTTAAAATATTTATATGTTTATAAAAGAGATATTTATAAATCTGAGTGTTATTTATGTAACATTTTTGAAAATGGATGCAAACTGCAGGTCAATTCTGTTTTGTTTCCTTTTACTTTTGTCTTATATAGTTGTGAATGTTTTAAGAAAAAATATGATAAAAATGAACTTCCATGTGCACATGCCATCCTTTCTGGGCGTCTTGTGTCTCACTAATGTTGTGAAAGAACAATTAGACATTTAGTAAAGAACATCAATAACCTGAACAACAAGTAGGAAACATTTGACTATTTTTTTAAATTTATTTTTTGTTAGTGCTAAAGCATTAGGTAAGACAATCCTAATGTTAGTTGCTGACTCAGCAGTGTATTTAAGGGCTATTTTGCTCCTTTTTTGATATTTCCACTCACATTTTATAATAATTAAACAAGGTGGTAGTTTTTGTCCTTCCACCTATGCATTTTCTATGCTCACAAAAATTTTTCAGCGGTGAGAGGCTGTTGGTGCCTTTGTTATTAAACAAAAGGCAAGTGTACTATCAACCAAAGTATGTTAGCTAAATGGATGTAAAACTCTGACTTTTCACAAATTCACATTCTTATCCTTTATGGTACTGGAATAAGGAATAAAGGCCAAAGGTCCATTTTAACCCATGCACATCACTTTTATCTTTCTCAAAATTGGAAAAAGATATTCCAGAATTTTCAAGACTATTTTTGAACCCTACACTAAAACATTTCTGTCTCTTTAAACTTTTTTAATTCATCCTTTCTTGCATTCAGCCTGCAACATTGTGATGTATCGTCACAATCTTTTAACATCTACGGTACATTTTCAACTTTTAGCTACAGAAATTGCTAAACTACCTTCAGAATCGTGACCTGGATCAACAGGACTCACCTACTGGATGTCCCTTTATCTTTGTCATGTGTTTTATAAAAATATTTTTAAAAAATCACCTGAACCCTAAAAAAACCCAACAAACACACTTAAACTATCCTTGAAGCAAATTTTGCCCATCACAAATATTCAAGTTGACTGTTATAACTAGAAGATTGCAACCTCAGAAATAAAACATTAGCAATATCGTGTAGGAGCATGAATAAAAAGCCAATTAGAGTGATTCCAAATCTGTATTCTTGCTAAAGAATACTCCACCCTTCCTTTCAACTCAGCTTATCATTAACTTTTAGGGATATTTAGAGGAATATATATGGCATCAGTAGATTTATTGGGGAGAAAAGGTGAAGCACTAAGTTTCTAGGTTTTTTATTGCTGCAATGTTTGGAGCTTGGATCCAAACCAAATCTTTCCTGCTGCAACGTCAAGTTGTATAGTGGTGGTAATAACAATTAATGTCTCTGTTTTTGTGACACTTGTCCCACAGCAAAATTTTCCAAGGTGGAGGTGGGAATAACGAGGGGAAGAGGGAGCAAAAAACATTTCCATGTGGTATTCAAAACTTACCAAAGATGTGCAATGTTCAAAGAAACAAATCATCAAAGAAATAAATAACATGAAAAGATACAAAATAAAATCTATGAAAATGTTTAAGTGGAAAATGTGAAAATAAGTGAGCTGCAGTATAAGTCTTTAAAAAGGCTAGTTTCAGTCTTGTGAGATGATCTGATTTGGATGTTACTGGAAGTCATTTTTGTAAAAGAAATTTAATAAATTATTTCCAAAAGGTCTGACCTGAATATTATTGTCGACCAATTTTAATTAACAAAATTATCACTCTGAAATCATGGTTAAATGTTTCAGATTATATAATAAATGTGTTTTGTATTGAACCTATTTTTTCTTAATAAAACGCTTTTCATTAAACAACAGAAAAAAATGGCACTCTAAAACTGACACAAGTCAAGTCATAAAACAAATAAGACAATCATGTGGCACCAACTCAATATATTATGAATTATGAAAATTATTATTGAAGAACAGAATAAGCATCATGAGGCGCATCGTGTCACAAAGCTCAAAATAACATAAACGTGAGTTCATCAGACCTTAATCTGACACCTTTGTGTTGCGGTAGAGCAGGAGATTCAGACATGATGTTCAGCCAACATGACGTTCAGCCAACAGCTCTATCATGTCAATATAAACCAACATTTTTGAGGAATTTTCCCTGTACCTTGTTCAGTTTTTATATCACAAAAGAATCAGCTGCTGTCAAGACAGAAAAGGGCCCTACTTTGTACTTGCAATATGTACCTATTAAAGAGACTATTTGGTCAATGTCTATGATATTGTGTTCTATCATGTCGCCTCCACTAGAGGGAGCCGGAGAGTAGTGACGAACCAAAAAAAAAAAAAAAAACTACATGCTGTTATCAGGAAGATTTAATTTCAAGCAAAATGTTATACAGTTAAATAATGTGATATATGTTATGTATATAACCTGGAAAAGGTAAATACCATTTCACAGAAAGTGTAAAGGTTCCTAAAATACTTTCAAATTTAGAAACTTTTCAATTTGGATATAGTGTGAGAACATGTTTTTTTTCTCCACACAAGACGCAAATGAATTAACTCTACATACCACAATAAACTCTAGTATATAACATATTATCTGGGGGTACAACTCTTCTCTTTTTGTCATCACAATTAATTTTTTTTCCCAATGGATGTCTTGGGAATGGATGAATATCTGAATGAATATCTGCAGGAAATTTGATGCTGTTGCTAGAATATGATTCAGGCAATCAAGAATCTTAGAATTTAGCTCCATTAGTGATGGTGCTGTCAATGGAAAATGTCATTGACATATAGAGGAACAGTAAGTTTAAATCTCCCTATGAGTAATTTGGGTGGCTGCCCAGAAATAATGAGTCTGTCTGCGATAAAAGAAGGGAGACACAGAGAACCCAAAAGGGTGCATCTATTTTTCTCACTAATGCCTCCATTTGTTGGGTTCACTTGATTTAATCCACCAGAGCAACACAAGTGTAGGGGAAAGTGCTTTGAAAAGAGCAAATTGTATGCCCTCTAGATTCATCTTATGAGCTCTAGTGAGGTTTAGTTCTGTTAATGTGTCTTTGTAGCACTGGAATAACGTCTTTATACTCAGAGATGGTTTCTCAATGTCAGAAAACTTGGATATGGTTTACTGGAACAGAAAGCAGCAAAAATAATGAACAAAGTATGAGTATATTTTTAAAATTAGAGACTGAAAACTTCATATATATATATATATATATATATATATATATATATATATATATATATATATATATATATATATATATATATGACAGATAGGTCGCAGCATAGGACCTATATATATATATATAAATATATATATAAATATATATATATATATATATATATATATATATATATATATATATATATATATATATATATATATAAATATATATATATATATATATATATATATATATATATAATATATATATATATATATATATATATATATATATATATATATATATTATTAAACCTTCTCCATTAGGTTTAATAAATATATATATATTTATATATATAATATATATATATATATATAAATATATATATATATATATATATATATATATATATATATATATATATATATATATATATATATAAAATATATATATAATATATAATTTATTTTTTTTTATATACAAAAGTCACACAAGAAGAAGAAAAGCAAATCCTCAGCTCTGACTCAGAGATTCCTTTGAGTGAAAGATGTAAAATGCAATGCTGCCTCTGTGTGGTGTTCAGTGTAAATTACTCAGATGTGCTGTGAACGTCTCCTGATTCAACAACATGAAAGTTACTTGGTATCAGACTGCTTCCACCATCAACAGCACTAAATATAAGGAGTTAATCTAGTTAATGTTGACAGTGTAAGTACTCTGGAGGGCTGCAGACCTTTTAGAACCATTGAAAACAAGCACAGCCTATTGAAACAGGATTAGTTTTATAATTAAAACAATTTTCTGAATACTCTTTGAAATTCCAGGAACAAAGCTCCACCTATACCTACCAAAAGTTAACATTGAGTCATTTTACAAATAGCAAGCCTGAATGTGTTTGATTTTATACACACTAACAGACAGAGCAAAACACAACGTTTTTTAACAAATATTGTCAACAAATATCTAGACAAAAAAAGATGTGGTTTACAGTTAGCTTATGCTGCAGATTTGCACATAAGGGACTACTCAGCCAATTTGGACTCTGTTTTAGGACTGGATTTTATATGGTTCATACTTTGGTGTAACCCATTTCATAATAGTTCTGGCTAAATGTTCATGGTTGCAGGCTTGCATAGAAACTTTGTCCAACTCTAAAATTTCGAATTACAACTATGACCACTTCTATTGTACAGGATGGGTGTTCTTAATGTAGACAGCTGCAAACTGTCATAGACGGTCCTCAATCTGCAGTTGTCATTCCATTTGGACAAGTTCTGACTTCCTTTTTATACCTTTTGAAATACTTTGCTCCCAATGAGTTATGTCATTGTTCTCATCACACATGGTTATTTTGACTCGGCAATTAAATTTACATTATATCCTTCAAATTAGACCGATGCTGTTAAATCAAGTTGTGAATTATAGACTATACTGCAAAACATATTTGCTTGTGTACTGACTTTCCTCCTCCATTAGGTTTAATAATAATAAGTTGGCTAATTCACATTAAGATGGAGGGAAATTCCAAATTCTGAAATAATATTTGAAAATACCTTACAGGCAAATCATATTTTGATTAATCATGGCATTATTTTAATATTTCTGACAAATGTAAAGAGACTGTATATTGGCTTAGATGAGTTGACTTACATTCACAAATTTAGTCAGTTTAAATAAACACATATTTCGAAGTATTAATACATTTACATCAGCTTTTTTTATACCTGTTTTAAAGTATTTGTATTAGCATAAAAGAAAAGTTTAAAAAAATGCATTCATTTGCGTCATGGCCGCTGGCATGATAGTTAGGCAGACACTTGATTACCTGTGATGCTGTTCTGCAACTTTTTTATATGTCTTATCCCTTAACAACGCTCACATTTTTAACCGAATGAAAGATAAAAAAACGTTTCAATAAACGAAAAACAACTTG